TCTCCACAGAGGAGACAGGATACCAATGTGAATGCTTTGCAGGATTCACTGGACCTGACTGTGAGACTAATGTGAATGAGTGTGCCAGTGAACCGTGCTCTAACGGAGGTATCTGCATTGATGGTGTCGACAGCTTTGAATGTATCTGTCTGGAGGGTTTTGAGGGTAAGTATTCTCCCCAAAAGCTTTCCAAGAACCAAATTGTTGCTTTGATATATGGTCTGTAGTGATTGACAAAATTGGTGACACTTAAGTTCTGTTCTGAGTCTCCATGTCGCTCCCTGTCTCATGTTTTAGGCCCAGTTTTGTGCATGCACTTAATGAGGAAATGCTGAAAAGCACTAAACATACATGTGTACATGCTCATTAATAGCTTGAGATAAGTAAGAAACTGTCAATTGTGTCAGCAGTCTCTGAGTAAACTTTTTCTTAACAGCGTTTTTATTATTGCTGTAAATGAAACTCTAGGCTACAATTTAATGAGACCAAGATAGAACCCGCGGAATATCTACCAACTACCAACCATTGTTTCACTGACTTGTCTCTGTTGATTTCAGGGCCTCGCTGTGAGGGACACACGGACCTCTGCAACCCCAACCCTTGTCATCACAACGCCGTGTGTGAGGCTGAAGGTGAGGATTATTACTGTGCCTGCCCTGCTGGACTGTCGGGCAGAGACTGTGAGATCCAGGTGGATGTCTGCTATGAAGGAACGACTTGCCTGAATGGTGGCAGCTGTGCACTGCCCGCTATGGACCAACTCTGTCTCTGTGTGGATGGATTTGTTGGTGAGTTCCAGAGACGGGGATTGTAACCAAGAATTTAAAAACAATAGAATCAAAATGTGGTGATTCCACCCTTACTGTGTCGTTAATGACCAAGACTCAGAAAATATCCTCTTTAGCAGAGAGTAACATTTCAGCAGACTAGAACCTGATGGCTGATGAATGTTGGTGATAGAATTGACCACCGTTACGTACTTTTCAAAAAGAAAATTCCAGAAGTTGTAGGAATAAATTCCGATTTTGGAGGCTATTTGACATTTCCTCAACATTTTTGAACCCATGAAAAATCAAGTAATTTCAATTTGAAGACTAGACGATTGAATACAGAGTTACTTAAAGAGTTGCCAAGCGCTAATTCAAATTCTTCATAATGGATAGACATTCAATGCCTGAGACCATTCCAGAGTACACGGTTGCAAGTGCAAAGCTTTCAAGGTAATTTTCAGTGCTGATTATGCAAGTGTAATCAGGAAATTAGAGATTCCAGACACTATTGAAATGTAATGCAGAAATGATTTATTAATCCTTTATGGATAAAGATATATCACAGAGGTGTATTAGTTTTGAAAGAAAAATAACAGTCCCACAAATAGCTGTAATAGCATGTGGTGAACCCTGAAGTTAGGTTTGTTTTCATTTTGCTTCGTGGTTTGGTAACCTTCATTTTTTAGCATTCTCTCCATTTTCTACCCACCAGGAGAGCACTGTGAGATTGATTTTGATGACTGTACCTCTCTTCCCTGTGCCAACGGAGCCATCTGCATAGACGGGGTCAACACATTCACCTGCA